AGCAGTAGATATTGATTGTAGCCATAGTTGATTTTAGAATAAGAGAATATGATGAAAAAGTGTGTGTTTTTATTTCTAAAACACAGATAATATCTTAAGTGAATTAGATTGAAATATAACAGATGGATCTATTCACATATCGATAAGTGAAAATTTGATATTGCTTTCATTTCTTCTAATCGTTCTGATTCTATCTCATGACAAATACAATAAAAATGTAATTAAGAGATGGATAGATGATCATGTGATGAAGTTAAGACTCAATGGGTATTATTATATTTTCAAACGGTGGAATATTTATGAATAAGGGTAGGAGCGGGCAGTTTTAGGATCCGTATTCATCAACTATAAAATTTTCTTCCCTCTACTAACATGAAAGTGATAATTCCCAGCAATATTGTCAAAGATATAGCTCTGAGGGTTTCATTGTCTTTCAATCTGAGAATAAAGGAATCAGTATTCGATGAGCGTTCCTATTATCATTTAACCGTACTATTTCAACGAACTAAAAAATGTTAAAAATTAATAGATAATTTGCAATTAAGTTTTATGCAATGTTCTGTGTAATAAAATAGATATAAATTTAGAGAAATTGTGTATACTGTATATTTTTTTTAAAATCATCCGTGTTTGATATAAATAGATGAACAATTAATTCGAAACAATATTTGAACGTATAACAAAAGCTTTTTTACACCTTGTTAATGGTGGTAAATAATTATCTTTCTTCAAAAAACGTCTATCAATTTTATGCAATAGCAATATCCGAATCTCCTTGCTTGTGATGTAAATCACTCATTTTTAAATAATTATTAGATAAATAACAATCATAGAGATAATTATTTAAATATTTCAATGCCTTTTGAAAATAGGATAATTTATTTTTGTCCATCTGGGTGTGGATGTCGGTGTAGTTGCTCCTTTTTTTTTAATTCTCACACCCACACTCTATTTATGTCTTATTATTCATTCATTCATTTTTATTAATTATAATATATATGTTGAGTATTGTTAGTATGTTAAAATTATTTAATTAATACATAACACTAATAGCTTTTAATCGGTCACGAAACAGTAATAAATAAAACAATCAAATTAATTGAAGATAATATATTTATTTAAATTTTATATTAAAGATATAATACTTGTGTAGCTGAAATAGCTCCACAAATACTAAGAATACTTGCTACAATAGTTACCATAACTGTTGAATTAGCAAGATGAATAAATGTTCCTATTGTTGATGATAAACAAAATTGAGCCAAAAATACCATACTACTTACAATAGCTACATCTGTGCCAATACCACGAATTTGTCCATTGGTATTTGTTTGTCCATACTAGACATTATCAATAAATTAATATATTTAAAAAAAACCTATATAAACATACTGTATTAGATGCATAATATTTTGAAATAAGTAAAAATGGAATTGTAAATAATGTTGAATAAAGAATTCCAGCTGTAGCTGAAAGAATAATAACAGCAAAACGATGTCGTAAATATCCCATCAATAACATTCCAATAGCATATATTAATTGTGAACCAATATAAACACGTTTAATACCTTTTTATTTCAAAAAAAAGAAAAAGAAAAAGATAATAGGTGAAACTAAAAAAATCGACAAACCAAAATAATTATTAAGTTTTTGCATATTAAATGAGTAGATTGAACATGATATTGAGTAAATTGCCATTCCCCATGAACCAAATCGTACTCCATCATTATATAATACTCTTAATGGATGTTCATAACCAAGTTTTGGATTTCCACCTAGAACAAAAATTAAATTTTGTTTCGTTAATTCATTCTTAAATATTTACCAAAAACAGCTTGTCCAACAAAATCTGTAAAATATAATGAATAAGATACAATTGCCATCCAACAAAAAAAATTTGTTAAACAAAGCCATTTTAATGATGAAGGCATATATATAATTGATCGAAGATAATCCATATATGATATTTTTATATTATTCGATGTTGTTAATGTATGTTCATCATGTTGTTGAATATCTTCATCGAAATTATTTATTGAATAAGTTGAAACAAGAAATTGACGTGAAGTTGATCGATTAAGATATGGTGCCATTATTGCAATATTAGTTGGTTCTTTAGCTGCTGTTACAGTTAACATTAAACAAATTATAAAAATCATCCAAACAATGGTAAAAAGAACATGAATATGATCACCAAGTATTCGAGCTAGTGCTGTTTTTTCCCATGGAATACCTCCAAGAAAATAACCTAAACTACCACCAAGACCAGCCATTGCTGTAAACGTTGTAAGACCTAATGATTGCTGATCTGGATTTGTAACATCAAGTAAATAAGCTCGACTTGGACTTTGACATGCATCACAATCAAGATCAAGTAAAATAACACCAAGTATAGTTATTATTGTACCAACTTTATGTGATAAAAATGGTAAAGATGTTTGATTTAAAGATGTATAATTTAAATCACCAAACCATTGTCCAATTGTACGACCTAGTTATTAATAAAATATTTTACTACATTATTAATAAAAAAAAAGAATTTTATTTACCATTTGCAACTAATAAAAGACCAATTAAAATGCCAATTGAATAAATGATAATAAATGGACGTCGTCGTCCAATACGTGTATTACATTTATCACTAAGTGAACCAAGTATAGGTACAAGAAAAAATCCAATTAATGGTGGTAAACACCATATCCATGTCATAAATATGACAGGTAAACCTAATTGAAGAAGTATCGGCGATACAAATGCCGTTTCAGCAGCATAACAAAATTCAATACCACATACGACCGCACTTAAACGTACAAGATCTAATTTACTCTTATGATTTTCTTCAGTTTCATAAGCAAATTGTTCATAAGAATCACGATGAGGTTGAACACGTCGTTTAAAAAAGTCGACCATTGTTGTCTGTTATTTAATTATTCTCAAATGATATAGATATATATAAATGTAAGAAAATTTCTCTGGCAAAAATATAATAAATTATTATATTATTGATCCTTTATAATAATGTCACGCAAACTGTCACTGTTTTTTTTTCTTCTCATGTCACTCAACTAATCTTTGTGCAGCATCGAATATGATTTTGCATGATTAATTGTGTTTTCAATTAAGAAAAAAAAATATAATCGAACGATATTGTTGATTAAAATCATCTATAGAATTCATATATTATTCTCAGGAGAAAAATATTAATCAAGTCCATTGATTTTTATCTTTTAAGAAAAATTCAAGATTTTTATCTTTAATATTAATTACAATGTTACAAAATAATTTAGTCAGACAAAGAAAAATGTTAATTTACATTTTTTCTTATGCAAAAACACATTCAGTAATAGTTATACACGTACATCAATCCATCTGTCAATCTGTTAGATAACTTGATATAGAACTAAAGTACAGAAAAAGAAGACACATACAAGAACGATACAACAGGAACAGAGTATATGCAAAAAAGAAAGATATAATACAATTGTCATTGTCGACAGATTGTGCGGTTGAATAAATTATTGTTTGCTGCTGTGTCTTATACATATACCAATGAAAGATATAATTGAGAAAGTATTTATAGAAGAATATGATAGAAGATGATTATTATTGTACAATGTATTATATTGAATTTTTTTGTTGTTGTAGATTAAGATATAAGAGATTATATATTATATATGGTGAGATATTGTATTAGATTTTGTTTTTTTTCTCTCTGAAAGAATATATTTGATAATATTAGTTTATCAAGGATGTTCTCAAGGTCATGTTTGATAGTACAATATTGCGTCATCTAGATTTTTAGATATAATTTGTAAATAGATTTAAAATGTTACATGTTGAACGTCATTTCTTGTTATTTCTTTGTTTTTCAATTATACGTGGACAAATTAATATTTGTAAGTTTATTTATTAACAATTAGTTTTTTCTTCGAATTGATTCTTTCTGTCTTTTATAGTTCAAGGATCAGAAGGAAGAATTGGATGTGTGTCAGATGATGGTCGACGTATGTCATCATTATTTAATTATATTGAAATGAAATTAAATAGATTATTAACTATTTAGTTATTCCTGTTGGCGAAAAAGAATATATATCACCTACTAATGTTTGTGATTTATGTCGATGCGAAAGCGATCAAGCCTTTGTATGTGATAGTCGTTGCGACGTGGTTGCTGCGTCAAGCAATTGTACAGAAATTGAAAAGATTGACAATCATGATCCAGTATGTCCATGTCTTGTTTGTCCAGAAGAACAAGGTAATAAAAAAGTTTATTTTCGATCATCAAATTTAGTTTTTTATTAGAATACTGGAAACAACGATGGTCAAAATTAGAACTAATAAATGTTGTAACTAGTACTTCTCCTATGATTACTACTACTTCAGAAATAACGTATTCTACGACTCAAGAAGTAACAACTACGGAAACAACTATAACTACAACGGAGTTACTTGAAACAACTACGGAGTTAACGACTACATTGACTACTGAGCTGCCTATTATTACAACACCTGTAGAAATTTTTACTACAACCTCTTTGGAATTACTTACTACATCAGTTCCAGAATTAACTACGACTACGATTCCAGAGATACTCACAACGATAGGTACTACTGATTCACCTACTACAATTACTACTGAAGAAACTACTATAACTACGACTGAATTACCTACCACAACTGTTGCTGAAGAATTAATGACAACTACTGCTACTACTGAAGAGACTACAATTACTACTATTACTACTGAAGAACCTACTATAACTACTACAGAATCACCAATAATAACTACTACTGAAGAATCTACCACATTTACTACTGAAGAACTCACTACATTCACAACTACGAGAACTACTACTACACCTATTCCAACAACAAGCATAACAACCACAACTACTGTGACTACTACTACCACCACTCCTACAACAGTGACTAGTACTACAACAACAACAACAACTACCACTACTACTACTACTACTAGTACTGTATCAACATTTAGTTCCACTACGGAGAAATTTAAGTCAAGATCTCCAATAATACCGCCTCGAAAGTTTACCAGTACTCGAAGTTCAACACGAAAATCTTCAACAACAACAACAACAACAACAACTTCATTTGCATCGACTACCCAGACAATATCCACAACTACAGCTATCTACTGGATTCCTGGACCTATAGGTTTACCTGGTATTGATGGTATGCCAGGATCTCCTGGTTCGCCAGGTTCTGTAGGAAGCATATCAGAAACAAGTGGTACAGGAGTAAGATATTTTATATTGAATATTTCATTGATTATCATCATTTGTTTAGACTGGTTATGATCTTGAACATTATCGCAAAGAAGATATTCGTACTATGATTCAACGTCATTTACTCATGCATGTCTATAATCCATCACAATTTTTCAGAGGTCGAATACCATTGATATCTTCTTCACCATATATTTCCTATATTCAATTACCAGCTGGAATGCCTGGACAACGTAAGAGAATTTAAAAAAATATGATATATATATATATTTGTTTGTTTCAGCTGGTCTCGACGGTGTACAAGGTTTAACGGTTTGTACTTGTATTTAGTTTCACTTTTCAATTTTTTTATTCTATTTCATTTGAAGGGTCCAGAAGGTATGATGGGTGATTATGGTATGCCTGGAGATCGAGGTTTACCAGTGCGTAACACTATAAAATATCTATAATCATTATTTAACATGTTTATTTATCATAGGGAAATATTGGTGAGCCAGGTTTTGATGGACCAAGTGGAAGTGTTGGACGAAAAGTATATTTATACTATTAATTTATCAAACAATACAATCTAGAACTTTTTCATTTATTAGGGATGGATTGGAAGAGTTGGAAGAAAAGGTGAGAAAGGTATTGAAGGTTTCCAGGTTAGCTGAATATATTAAAATATAATAAAAGAATTAATATCATAAACTATAGGGAGAAATTGGTCCGATTGGTGTTCCTGGTGTTATTGGTATTAAAGGTCTGTTGCTTATCTTATTTTTATATGTTAGAAAAGTTTATTTCTAGGTGAAATTGTAAGAAGTTTGACATATATTGTATAACTATAACAAAGAAGAATATTTTTACAGGGTTCCATTGGAGAAAAAGGATATATAGGTGAAATAGGTAAACAAGGAGAAAAAGGTGATCAAGGGGAGGAAGGAGAACGAGGATCACTTGGAGAGATTGGTCAGCAAGGTAAAACTGGTTCGATTGGTATTAAAGGTGGTCAAGGAGTAAAAGGTAAACATTTTAATATAAAATGATTACTAGATTCATTTTAACGCTTCTAGGTGAACAAGGCTCGCTTGGAATAGGTTTGTTATGATTTATTTTGAGCATAAATATCTTAATTTATTGTTAATGATAGTTGGTCATCAAGGTAAAATCGGTCAAAAAGGTCACAAGGGTGAACGAGGTTTAAAAGGTGACCAAGGGGAGCAAGGACCTACGGTAAATAATTAAAACTCTATATCTTCTATAAAATAAATATTTAACTAGGGGCGAAGAGGCAAGACGGGTATACGTGGACCTATTGGTATTCCAGGTGATATTGGTGAAAAGGTAAGAATCAATCAGTGTTCAATTGTCTTATGTCATCAATCATTTAGGGTAAATCTGGTCTTGTTGGTCGTAAAGGCGAACGTGGAAATCAAGGTGAAACAGGGATTCAAGGACCTCAAGGAGCTCGAGGAGATGTTGGTAACAAAGGACTACAAGGTCTTAAAGGATATCGAGGACCTAAAGGATTTAAAGGTGAACGTGGTTATAAAGGTATCGAAGGTGATGTTGGTATAGATGGAAACAAAGTAAATAATTAACGATTTCTGATAAAAAAAAATTGTTTGTCTAACTAGGGAAAGAAAAGTATCAAAGGAGGTAAAGGTGATGTTGGACCTCTTGGTCTCAAAGGTATTACAGGTGTCCGGTAATTATCACAATTAGTTTTTACTATATTGTTTGATTATTATTTTCTATAGAGGTGCAGAAGGTATAATGGGACCAAATGGCGATAAGGTAAATACTTCAATTGATTTCTGAAAGATATAGAATATAATTTGATAATAGGGTGACAAAGGCAACAAAGGATTTCAGTAAGAAATTTTGGCTTTTTATTAATTGATATTTATACAGTAGAAATTTATAATACATAGAGGTGAACAAGGAATTATTGGTTCTATTGGCAAAATTGGTTTTACTGGAAAACGAGGTCCAATAGGCGACATAGGACAGAAAGGTCTTATTAATTTGTTAAGAAAATATTGAATATAATATTTATATTCTATGTATAGGTGATAAAGGTGTTAAAGGAATTGTAGGCGAAAAAGGTTCTACAGGTTTTGTTGGTGCTCGAGGTATTGTTGGTGAACAAGGTATACAAGGACCTATCGGGAATCAAGTAAAGTATCAACAAAAATTTGTATGAATCTTTCAATTATAGTTTAATATTTTATTTAGGGTGCAAAAGGTTATGAAGGTATTAAAGGTGAAGTAGGAATAATCGGACAAGTAGGCTCAAAGGTAACTCTACAAAAAAAATGTTTTTTAACATATAACCTTACGTAACTATTCAGGGCATTGAAGGACCTATTGGAAATGTTGGTATCAAAGGTAAACAAGGTGATATGGGCATTCAAGGGCAGAAAGGAGAACGTGGTGATCGTGGTTTCACTGGTGATAAAGGTATACAAGGTATACAGGTAAACCTTACATATACATATTATTTTTTTATTTATTAAAGTCGTAATTGAATTTGTAGGGAATAATCGGTCCGCAGGGTATTACGGGTATCATTGGAGATATAGGAAATAGGTTAGATATTTTACCATATTATGTTGAAATCATTGTATGATGAATCTTTTTTTTTATAGAGGACCTATTGGTAATATTGGTCGAAAAGTAAGACTTGTTATCGTAATTCATAATAGTTAGTATCGAGAGATTCTTTTCAGGGAATTAAAGGAGATATAGGTGATCAAGGTTTTACAGGCGATGTTGGTCCTCTAGGTAATGTTTGATGAATACATAAGTTTCTGATATAAAAATAATTTAGGACCCAAGGGTGAAAAAGGTTCAAAAGGAATAACTGGTGATATCGGACCACAGGTAAAAGAAGAAAAAAAACGTCTATTTTAATTAAGTATAGATTTATTTTCTAGGGAGATGTAAGTAATTGATTGAAGAACTCATTAAAGATTGTAACTATATTAATAATAGATCGGTTCAAAAGGTGACATTGGTATCACAGGACCAAAAGGTATATTTATTTCGATAAATATATATGTGTACTATTCATCGAATATTTGTTACAGGAAATATGGGTGATCAAGGTCCTCAAGGACCAATAGGATTACAAGGTGATATAGGTGCCCAAGGGTCAACAGGTGATGTTGGTATTAAAGGAATACAGGGAGATATTGGTATCGTCGGTGATTTAGGAGAAAAAGGCATAGAAGGTATATTATACAACGTTTCAATATTTAAATACAATCTTTTCATTTATATTCTAGGTGAAAAAGGAATTATTGGAGTAACTGGTCAGAAAGGTCAAAAAGGTATACTTGGACCCATTGGTCCAAAAGGTGATAAAGGTTTAATGGGAGATATTGGACTTATTGGTGAGCAAGGAATACAAGGTCCAGTTGGACCAGAAGGTATAGCTGGTATAAAAGGAGTAAGTTTTACACAAATTACAACTTTGTTCTCTACAATAAAATTGTAGATCATCGGTATCAAAGGAATCAAGGGAATTATAGGAAAAAAAGGTGCTCTTGGACCTCAGGGTCCAACAGGTGACAAAGGAGCACGTAAGTATTATTGTTCATTATGAAAAATATCTATGAATTCTTTTTTTTTAAAGAGGGAATCAAAGGTATTGTTGGTGATCAAGGCAATATTGGTGCTAAAGTAAATCATTTATTTCAATGAAAACTATAAAACGGAAAAAGTATTTTATTTTAGGGTTATAATGGATCTGTTGGTTTACCTGGTCTAGCAGGTGCTCGAGGTCCTGGTGGTTTTGTTGGTGAAAAAGGTTATGGTGGTAGTCGTGGAAGCCGGTAAGAATTATTCAAATCATATCAACACTATTATAGAATATTTCTAGTGGTCCTATGGGAATACAAGGTGAAGCTGGTTTAGAAGGTGAAGAAGGTCCATCTGGCAATGTAAGATAAAATTTTCTTTCAGAATCAATTTTAATTCTATTTTCTTTCCATATAATTTACAATAGGTTGGAGAACCTGGAGAAGATGGTAAGTAATATTTAAGAAATAGATAAAGTACTATATGTTTTTTTGGAATTCATTTAAAAGGAGCATCAGGTAGTAGTGGTAATCCAGGTCAACGTGGAGCTCGTGGTATGTACAAAATAGATTTAATAAATTTGTTTATTATTATGTTTTTAGGTGATGGTGGAACTATTGGTCCACCAGGTCCTCCTGGTCCTTCAAGTGCATCACCTACAAAATTGAATAGTGCTACTCTAATGAATCTTTTTGCTACAAGTACACAATTGGCACAATTATTTAATACATCAGCATCAGATAGATACAAAGATCTTGATATTTTCGCTCGTTTTAAAACGGATGAAAATCCAATGAAAATGGCTTCCAAATTTCTCAATGATCTCAAAAATTTATCGACTAAAATTACATTAAAAACTAAACCTGATGGTAGTCAAATGTATCCAGCTCGAAGTTGTCGAGATATTGCCGATTATTATCCTGAAAAACCTAATGGTTAAAATAATTTAGTTTTTTTAAACAATATTTCTTTTTTTTTATTATAGGACTTTATTTTATTGATCCAAATGAAGGTTCAAAAATCGATGCTTTACTTGTTTATTGTAAATTAACTGAACGATTAACATGTATTAATTCAACAAATGAATTAATTCAATCAAAAATATTTCTACAAAATTCAATTCATTATGGAAAACATACACGATTAATGTCTAATCTTCTTCAACAATCTGAAGTATAATAACCAAAAATAAATAAAATTCATATTTTATTTTTTTTGAAATTTTAGTTCAATTATGATATTGAAACAATTCAATTACGTTTTCTTCGAATGCTTTCCGAATATGGCTCACAAAATATCACATTTAATTGTCAAAATACATTGGTTGATACATTAAAACATGATATTAAATTACGAACTAAGAATGGAATGATCTACCAAATGAAATCATTGAATGATGATTCATTAAAATATAATATAATTAAAGATGAATGCAAAGTAAATTTTCATGGTCAAACAGTACTATCAATTCAAACAAATAAATCTGTACGTTTACCAATAATTGATATTGAATTTTTCAATCTATTCAATCAAAATCAAGATTTTAATATTCATATTGGACCTGTTTGTTTTTCTTAATAATTAAATATGTTTTTATATTTTTCTACTTTTTTATATAATAAACAAACGTATTTTATTGCAGATAAAAGGAAGCAAAATGTATATTATCAAAATGACAACAATACACTTTTTAATAGATTAAATCTCATGACTAAATAATATAGAAAAGGAATTTCAATCACACAAAATATATATCGGAAAGTTAAAACTAAAAAGCGAAATTTAAACTAAGTCTATTTTCATTTATTATCTCCACTTGATATTTGTTCGACTTTTCTCTTTGGTGGTGTATATGTTATTCTTGAACGAAGATTTAAATCTATATCAGGATCAGTTGTTGATATATCTTCATTCTCATTCTCATTCTCATCATCATCATCATCGTCACCGCCATCATCATCATGATCATGTGTTACATGTAATGGTAAATCTGGATGTGTTTGAATTGGTAAAGTATGATTAAGACGTGGTGTACTAGCTGTTACTTGACCATGTATTGATCGACGATGATCAGATGTATCTGATTCAGATGTTTCATCACCCCATGATTTGAAATGCATGGGTTCTTCTGGATCAACCGTTGATTCATGAGGCATCTAACAAATAAAAATGAATATAAATCATAATAATAATTATATTTGATTTTACCAATTGTGGAACGGCACGAAAAAAATAGAAAAATGGATAATAAACAAGATTGATGACTGTGGAAGCATAAATATCAGCATAACGTGTTACTTGAGAAGCAAAATGTGTTTGTCGCGAACCTTTATTATTTATCAAAATAAAAATAAATCAAACTAAATAATCATTTTACCTGTTCGAAATAAAGAACCTAACAGACCAAAATTCATATCAAGTTCATGGGTACATTCCTAAACAAAAAAAAATTGTTTTAATTAAAATTCATCTAATCCCTTGGGATAGAAATTGTTTTTGTTCGAATAAATATCAAGATTATTTATTTCGAAACTGATAAGAAAACTTTTATATTATTATTTTGTGAAATATAAGAATAGACTCCGATATAGAGAAGCTAGTACTTATACATCATGCAATCTCATTAAATTTTTACTTGTATTTTATGTTTTATTTTTGAAACAGCATCAGGTCCATGATTAGATGTCATATCGAATGATCGAAGTAATTCGCTAATTGATGTATCTAATGCTTCTAATGTATTGAATAAATCTCTTTTATCATGGAAAACTTTTAATTCATGATTTAATTCAGGTACAACAAGCATTGTTCTCCATGCTTTTTGTTTTTTCGATTTGATTATATCACCAAATATATGATCACCAACGTATAAAACATCTTTACCCGTTGAACCAATTAATTTCGAAACAACTTCACATGAACCTCCACTATAAACTTCATTCTGTTGCAATTGTCCAGCATATGTACCCAATTTCATGCTTCCTGTAGCTGGATCAATTATTCTCAATGTTGTACCTTCAGCGAAAAATAATGGTTTTTGTGCATCAACTAATATATAATCAAAATATGACTTCCAATCACGTTTTATTGTTTTGGAATCATCAGCATAAATTGTTAATAAATAAGTCATTAAATTATTTGTATACCAATATTCACTATTGGTTAATAAAAATGTTTTTGCATTATGTGAACGAATTCTAATTGAATCAGAAAAAATCAAATGAATAAATAATAAAATTTTAATAAATTACCGATCCAATAATACTGGTAATTGAGGATCTTTATGAACATATTTTTCAATATTTTCGCAAACAGTTTCTTTCAATTTATCCTTTTAAAAGAAAAATTTCTCAAATAAATTATGAAAAAAAAATCTTTAATTACTCGTTGATGAACACGATCAATTGAATTACGAACATCATTAAATATAGCACGAAATGAAAGAATATTTTGTCCATAGATAACACCAGTACGATTTCTATAATAACATGTTTACAAAAATCGTTATTTCTTGAGGAAAAAACAAAATCATTTGTTATACATACTCAACATATGTTGCCACTGTAGAAAAATAATCAATTAAGCACGCAATCAGATAAATTTCTACAATATAAAAAGCAACAAATTCTTTTTTTTTTGTTCTAATTATCTTATTATTTTTAATTACCTGGTAAATTAAAAAGTGTATAAAATACATAGACACGATCATCGACAGTAATATATTTATTTGGATACATTTGACGAACTTCATGTCTAAAAGATAAAATAAAAAATTTGACCTTATGATTATTATAGAACATACCCATTAAGAAATTTAAAGCCATGTACAACAGTAAGAATATTCCCATAAGCATCAACTTTAAGTATATTTCCATATAATTTATCATACCAAAGACCTCTAAAAGAAACTAATTAAAAAAGTCAGAAATAGCTATTTTTTTAATTAACCTTAATGGAAATGTTCGATCATAGACAAATTCCCGAATTTGTTCAGGATATCCAAGTTCGATTAATGTTTCGAGTACTTGTTGAAATGTTAATTCTTCAAATTCAGGTGATTTATACAATGCTAATGTATAATCCATATCGAAGCCATAGAATTTTATTCGATCCAATTGCAAACTTCGATTGACGAATATACTACAAAGAATTTCAAGTTTTACTCTTTTTTTTCCTATTTTTCAATTTATTTACCGATGGCCTGGTTCGCGTTTTGTTTTTATATTTCTTTTCTAAATAAATATGTGCATAATTAATCAAAAATAGCAATAAGTCGGAATTTTCCTACTCGTATTTCTGCATCTGATGAAAGCGATTCACGTGGATGATCTGCACGTTGCATGTCGGTTTCGGAATTTTCTGGATCTTCAATCTAGATCACGAAATAAATATATGTTCAGTTAATGATTTACTTTTATACTAATTAATAATGTCTTAAACTATATTGACTTACCATTCTTTTTTTTAGTTTAGATAAAAAAATATTGGCGGGGTCACAACAAACACATATACGACCAAAACAAAAAAAAAGAATAAATGTGTCTAAGAGGAAAAAGAGAACAACATTATATTCACTATGACGTTCTATTTTTTTCTCTTTTTTTTTCCTTGGTTTATTATGCTTTTTTTTCCTATGAAACCATAAATCGATCAAGTAAAAGCGTTGTTAACTTCGGATTTTATGGATTTCAAGGGTTTTAATTCCTAATTTTAGATATATTGATATTTTACAATCTATTTTATGCACTTGTTGCATTAAGTCAATAGACTTATCTTTATGAATAATATATAAGATAGCAAAGAAAGTACTTTTATTTTATTTTAATGATCAAACGATATCACACGGTTTTACGTGACTAACATTTGAATTCATACTATCATTTTTCGCAAAAAAAGATCCATTATTTCTCTTTTGTTTTAAAAAAATTATCCTATATGTCAAAGAAAAGAATTGTGCCAAGTACAAATTGCATTAAGGAAAAAGAAAGGAAGAAGAAGAAGAAGAAAAAAAAGAAAGGATTGATTAAAGACAGAATACGTCAGAGTATTTTGCCTGGAAAAATATAATTTCCATCTGATGGACTATACCAGATGATAAGAAAGAAAAAGGAACATCTGGGCTGTTTTTCTCTTCTTTTTGACAGCGGTAGATTTGTTTATATTTCTGCCGAAAAAATATTGATTAAGAACTAAGATATATAATCTACATCAAGTGCAAATCAAGTCTTATCTAATTAAACTATTATCCCGCGCAAATCAAAAAAAATCTTTCTATGACCTTTTATAAGTAGGTCAACATAACAAATATATTCATATCATTCCTATGTATTCATATTACATTTCGTTATATCAATAAAAACAAATGTAGAATTTCCTCGATTCCATATAAATTTTATAGCTGACAGTCACGTCATCTGCAAAAATCCATAGAATATTATCAAGTAATCCATTCGTCATACAGCGCTACTATCGTTAATTATTAAAATTATATTTTAAAATCATTAAATTCAATTAATTTCGACATATTTTTATTTAAATAGTTCATCTATTTAATAATTTCATATTTGTAACTCATGGAGGTTTTCTATACTTAGTAAACATTCGATATGGTAGCGATAATGTTGTTCATTTTTATTTATTGTTTTTCCTATTAAATGAATATAGTATCATACTTTTTTTTTCTTTTATAGATATTTTAGTAGTACCCATCATGCAGATCTTTGTCAAGGTAATTCATCAATTAGATATATAGAGAGGATTTTAATTATTGAATTTCATTTTTTTTCTAGACTCTTACGGGTAAAACCATCACGCTCGAAGTATGTTTATTACATTTTTGATTTCATATAAAGCATAATAATGATATATAGGTCGAGCCATCGGATACCATCGAAAATGTCAAGGCTAAAATTCAAGACAAGGAAGGTATTCCACCAGATCAACAACGTTTGATTTTTGCTGGCAAACAACTTGAAGGTAAACATTTATTTAAATAGTATTGCGAAATTTTTCCTTTCTTGTTATTAATAGATGGTCGTACTTTATCCGATTACAATATTCAAAAAGAAAGTACACTTCACTTAGTCTTACGTAAGTACAAATCAATATTTATTCATTTAATTTTATATTCTATAAATTAAAGGTCTTCGTGGTGGTACTATTGAACCAACACTCCGTTTGTTAGCACAAAAATATAACTGTGACAAGGTTATCTGTCGCAAGTAAGATTAATATGATTGAATTTCTTCATTTTAACATGAAATATATATTTAGATGTTATGCTCGACTTCATCCACGTGCCGTTAATTGTCGTAAACGTAAATGTGGTCATACAAGTAACTTACGACCAAAAAAGAAACTCAAATAAACAATTTATTTTTTATTTTTTTTTGTTTTGCTCATGTATGATCATGTTAAAATGCAAAAACGAACAGACATATAAAAAAAATAACAGCAGAAAATAAAATAACAAAACAAGAATAAAGAAAAAGATTAAATATATATATGACCGTATAATGTCAATCTATGTTGATTTTAAAAGCAATAGTTTTTCATATCATCGAGTAGATATAAATATATTTATGTATTAGATGATGAGAACCTTGATTTAAAGAACAGGTAGGTTTAGATTTCTTTTTCAAAAGAAATAAGGTGTGTAGATTTTTGACTAGGATTAAGAGTTCAAGGATTTGCTAGATAAATATTTTTAAGAAACAATGAATAACTATTTATGATGAAAAGGAACGTAATCGATATAAAAAGAATCATTCGTGGTGATAGTAGATCATGATTTATTGTAAGTAGTTTCTTTATATTGATAAGAATAAGTTATCGAGATCGCAAGTATTGAGAAGTGAATAGTGGAGATTTTTATATATCTTAAGAATAATTGAAAATAGAGTTTTAGTTGCTATCTTATTTCATTCTGATGAATCGATATGTATGTCATGGCTAAAATTAGAATTTTAAATTTATTGAATCATATAAGTTTTGGCATAGAAAAAATCACCTTTTTTTGTAGATACTTCAGAAGTTTATTGGATTAAATCTGCACTTGAATACTTGAAAATAAATGAATATTTTGATAATCTGTTTCTATAAATTGTTTTACTCAGAGCAGTCCACACTAATATGATAGAAACAAAATAGTTTTCATAAAATATTTTATCCTAATCATGCAAAAAATCATTCAATGTTAATCTTAGATCATATTCTTATTACTGCTTCCATTTTTAATTTTATAGTTCATTTAGGAAAATTCAAAATTTGATCGTAATGTTCATATGTACATAACGCAGCTGTTCTGTTTGATATTTGCTAATAAATCCAAAAGAATTTGATGAGTTCTTAAAACTACATCAGTATTTTTCAAATTAAAATGAAAAGTAGAACATAGGTGACTCGTATAAGCCGTTTTACGTATGTCATTTGAATTTAATATTCATTATTTGAAATACCACATCGTTTGAGAAACAAATGAGTTATACTATGCATATTATTATTGACCTGAAAACTTAATAAATTCAACCTTTAACTAATCTTAAACTTTATACATTGAGCCATCTGACCTTTGAAAAAACAACTGACATCATAGTTAATAAATAGTGTTAGAAATAAAATATGGCGTGCTTCATATTAGTGCAAAAATAACTAATGAATTTTCTACGTATTGTTTAAGAAACACAAAGTGGATTAATCGTACGGATGCATTGTGAGAAAAATATCCATCTGGATATGTTATCATATTTATTGATTTCACTCACCTATTTTTATACATAATAAAACATAAGTGTATATGTAAGTCTTTTTTCAAATACATAAGAGTACATCTAGATTTCTTTTATTATCATTTGATAATCAAAATTAGTTATGTACTAGTTATAAATGCCTGGACGACCTCAAATAATAAAAAATAGCGTTACTCTCTCTTTTGTATTCAAGGCTAAGATCTAAATGTTAGCTGCATATTTCAAAACAATAAATTGTAAGAATCCATGAAGACACATTTTTCTCATATGACATTTTCACAAAAAAATAAGTCCATAAAAAAAACAAGGGAGAATTGTAAAATTAAGAAGATATATGATTTATGGTTTTATATAGATTGTTTTAATATATTTCGATTTCTTTAGAACAATGACTCGACTAAATTCTGTAAGTAATAAAAAACAAAGTTCTGTAGAATTCTCATCAGCTGAATTACCACCAATAACAACACATAGAAATGATGCTGAAAGAAGAAAAAGTATATTTACAGTTGAAAAATTAAATGAACGATACAATCTGAATCAAGATTTTGATGAAAGTCCAATTGATGGTACATGGAATTATATTAAAAAATATTACAAACCAACACCAGCTTTTTTTAAAAGACAATTATTTAAACGAATTCCATTTCTTGATTGGATACGACATTATAATCTAAAAGAATGGCTTGTATCGGATATTGTATCTGGATTAACTATTGGTATTGTGCATATTCCACAAGGTAAAATAACATCGTTTTTTCTAAATATGATTAATAATATGCGATTAGGTCTTGGTTATGCTATTCTTGCTGGTCTTCCACCAGTTACAGGACTTTATGTTTCATTTTTTCCGGTTATTCTCTATGCTTTTCTTGGTTCATCACGACATTTAAGTATTGGTAAGATTAATTGAACTGTATTGTATAGCAAAGTGTCCATGAATGATTATTTTTGTTTTAATAATAGGTACATTTGCAGTATCATCTCTAATGATCCTTGCTGCTGTTAATAGCAGAGTAGGAACACTTATTCCACCGGGTACTATCACATCAGCTACATCTAATATAACGGATGACATGAATATTACAAATTTCGAATATACAACAGAATATCCGTCGAGTTTTGGTGAAACTCTGGCATCAATGACGACAACAATGAGATCTTCTTCTAGTAGTAATACACGATATCTAAGTAATGATCCAGCTCAAGCACGTATTATGGTTGGTGCGGCATTAGCATTAGTTGCTGGTTTAATTCATTTAGCTATGGCTATACTACATTTTGGTTATGTTACTGTTTATTTATCAGATTCAATTGTACAAGGTTTTACTACTGGATGTGCTATACATATAATAACAAGTCAAATACCACCATTACTTGGTATTAAAATAAAAACCGTAAATGGACAATCAAAAGTAATTAAGGTATGAAGAAAGAAAATCTGTTATTTTCTTTTAATTGAATAAAATTTAATTTATTTATATATAAGAGTTGGATTGAAATATTTAAAAATATAAAATATTCTAATGGTGCAACATGTATATGCAGTGCAATTAGTATTGCGTTATTTGCTGGTGTCCGTGATAATATTAATGAACGATTTAAAGGGCGAATGCCAATACCAGTTCCAATTGAATTAATTATTGTAAGATTTTTCTTTTTAAAAGTTTTACTTAGTAAATATATATTTATAGGTAGTTCTTGGTACTGGTCTTTCTGCTGCATTTGATTTTAACAAACGTTGGAATATCAGTATTGTCGGTAGTCTTCCACTTGGGTATATAAAAAGAATTTTACATATATGAAAGAAAAATATTTTCTTTTTCGTATAGAATTCCACCTCCAGTTGCACCTCCAATGGCAGCTATAACTGATGTTATAGGCGATGCTGTTGCAATAGCTATTGTATGTTTTGTTGTTAATATAAGTATGGCGAAATTATTTGCAACAAAATATAAATATCAAATAAGTCCAAATCAAGAACTTTTCTCATATGCAGTTGGAAATATTGTTACAGCATTTTTTAATGGTTTTCCAGCTTGTGTTGCATTATCACGTTGTGCTGTTGTTGAAGGAACAGGTGGAAAAACACAAGTAACAAAAAATTAAATAGAATTATTTAACGTTATTTTTCCTTTTTTTTTGAAAGATTGTTGGAATTTTAGCATCCATTGTTGTATTAATTGTTATTTTAGCTGTTGGTCCATTGTTTCGTACATTACCAAATTCTTGTTTAGCAGCTATTATAGTAACAGCTATGAAAAATATGCTTTTACAAACGAAACAATTACCTGTTTTATGGCGTATCAATAAACTTGAATTTTTAGCGTGGATGATAACATTTTGGGGTGTTGTTCTACTTGATGTTGATTATGGTTTATATATTGGAGTTGTAGCGATGATTCTCCTACTAATTATTCGATCACAAAGGTATAAATAAAGAATTTGTCTTTTATATTAACAGAATTTTTTATTATTTTCAAGACCACATGCAACATCACTTGGTTATTTATCATCTGCTGGTGTTTACGAAGATCAAAATGCATATCCATCAGCAACTGATATACCAAATATAAAAATTTTTCGTTTTGAAGAAAATATCTACTATGCGAATGTTGATATGTTTAAAAAATTATTTATTAAACGTATTGGTTTACGTGTTGATGATCAAATAAAAGCAATGAATGATGAAATAATGAATGTTGAACGTGAATATAAATTACAGTTAGCTAAACCGAGTAATAAATTTAAGAATATTAAACGACATTTTCGAAAAGAAAATGAAACAATACAAAATGATGAGATCGTAATTGATGAAAAGAAAATATTAGAAGAAAAAAATGAAAAAGTAAAGTAAAATTAATTTATATATACATTCGAAGATTATTTTAATAGATTGAAGAAGTTAGAAAGAAATATCGACCAAATTTTGATCATATTATTATTGATTGTTCACCTATTAATTATATGGATATGATGGGTATTAAAACATTAATACAAGTAAGAATTTTCTCAATTCAATATTTATTGAATTATATTTTTTTTCATATAGATTTTTAAAGATTATAAAGAAATTGGTGTAACAGTTCTACTTTGTCAAGTTCGACGTATGGTTATATATATTGTCGAGTAACTATTGTAAAATATTTATCTTTTTAGCTACTGTCTATCAACAATTGAAACGTATGAGTTATATGGATGTTGCTGGTCTTGAAAATATTCATGTTTCAATTAATGATGCTGTTATGCATGCATTAAAAACAGTAAGATTCATTGACTTTTCTTTAAATTTAATTCATTATAATAATTTTAGCGTGCAACTCGTGACTCAATTGTTTATTTACCCGGTTCTCCAATGCCTTATGTTGGTATTGAAAATGTTGGTTACACAGGTGCTGAAGATGATGATGAAGAAAATGATGATACAATAACAAAGAGTTATTTATAAATTTTTATTTTTATGTGTTAGTATATATATTTTTTATATGATTATATAAAAAGTCAATTAGATTTTACTGTTTAATTACTAATAAAATATATTATCTCAATGATTGTTTAATGTTGCTTAGTGTAAAATGTCATCTGAAAAGAGTTTTAAGATCTTTGAAGCATAGAACTAGAACAGTTTTAAATCAAATGATCGAAAAACTTGATCACATTCATTCGAAACTTATTTGTCCATATTGATTAGATATTTCCAATAAAATACTGTATAAAAGATTTCAATCATTAGTTGAGTGAGCATAATTAAACATTATCTTTATGGTTTACAATTATTATTCGATGATTCGAGAGAGATCATCGTTCAATGAAGGAAAAGAACAGGATTTATTCTAATCAAAATCATTAGGCGTCTCGTTTGATATTACATAACTAACGAATACTTCATTTAAGAATATTTTGATGCGTCGGTCAATTCTTTTTTTTTATTGAAAATATCTTCGTTGTTGTTACTCGTCCTTGAATAAAAGTATTCACTTCTTACTTATCCCGTCTAGATGTAGGAGCAAGGAAAGAAATGCAAAATGAAATAATAGTTTATTTCAATTAAGCAAAACAGGAGAGAACAACAAGAGAAAGGTATTTACGTATTGAAATATTCGATAGAACGAAAAGACAGTATATCGTATAAAAGAAAAAGGAAAGAACCACGTATAGAAGGGAAAAGAACATGTATACATGGGAAAGTCGAATGATGATATCACTACATCATATTACTAATGCGAGCTTTTAGATAGGAAATATCCTAGCCGATTCAATGACTTATTTGTCGATTAATGCAGCGTCATGCAATGTGAAATGATGTGTGACAATTGTTTAACTATTTCTTGTTATCGTTTGTTTTGCTTACACATCTTATTTGCGCAACAAGTCAAAGACGTGTAACACTATTTCCTTTCTTGCTGAAACTATTAAAAACGATCGTACATTGATACACAAGTATATAGCCGAACAAATTAATATCAAATTCATTAGATATTTTCATTTATCTTCATAATGGCAACCAAATGTACATCATGTGGTGAACAAATTACATCATTATCTATTATGTACAAGTGTCGTCAATGTGTTGACCATTTTGTTTGCCAATTATGTGAGGAAAAGGAACATAATCGAACAGGTCAATTATTCCATACACTTGATGAAATGAGTGTATCAGCCGCCAAATCTATGGCAAATTCTGCTACTGCATCATCCAAAAATTGTAATGATAAACAAGAGTCAAACAAATGTGTAAGATATCCTATGAAAAGAAATAGTCGAGGTTTTTTAATCGAAAGAATTATTTATTTTTTTATTTCAGACATCTTCGAATTCATCAATATTTACTAGTGATGAATATCTTTACTCATTTCTAACTTATTGCAAGCATTGCCACAGGGTATTTAGTATCGAAAAAGAAACAGGTTTTGAATGTCAAGAATGTAAAGCCTACAACGTATGCAAACAATGTTCTCCGCTTATGAATACCTTGCACTCTTCTGGACATACCTTTAAAATACTTTCAGAAAATTCAACAGCATTAACACTCAATGGCCTCTATCATTTTGGTGTCACATGTAATGGATGCTCATCGGAATGCTTCACGGGGAAGCGCTATCAATGTCGAGAGTGTTCTCCGAGTTATGATTTATGTGAAAAGTGTTTCGGCAAGAAACATACACATCACGAATTTCGATATATACAACACTTTATGCTGTTTGCACATAACCGACAAATTCTTGCTGTTCGAACAATGAGTTTAGCAGCAAAAAATAATGATCGTAATAGGCGCGATTCCATCACAGGTTGGACGGTGTCTGATGCTACAAGAATCCTTGAGCAAGTAAAACAAATAATACAAATTTATGTAAACGAATTTATAGAAAGAAAGAAAAAGCTGGACCCGGATCATCATGAAACACAGCAACACTTGGATCAAGCACAGCAAGAATTGGATCCAGTTGAAGATTTAAAGAGAAGACATTGGTGGGCCTGTTGGTAACCCTAATAGCATTCTTTAAGCATGCCATTGAAAAAAATAAACAACGACGAAATCTGTGACGTTTTACTTATATTCTAATTCCGAATAGTTCATATCTTATTTCTGTTTAATAAAGCATATTCATAACTCTGTCATTTGTTTTAATTAGACATAAAATAAGAGGGTGAGGGTGACTTTATCCATTCAAAAGACATAAATGCAAAACGGCATCAAATAATGACTACCACGCGTTTCGATCTTGCTGATGCTATAAATACGTATAATTATATTTTGTGCTTATTGTGAAATATATATTTATTATCTAGTTTTGTTAGTGAGAAAAATGATATAATCTTGTTCCAGTCAAACAGAAAAAAATCTACCTATAAAGTGCAAAATATAATAAAACTAAAAAATTAAGAAAAAACAAATATCACAGAAAAAATGATCAAATAAGTCCAGGAATGAAAGCGTACGGTACTGTATCACAGTAAATTGTCCAATCTTTACCATACTTAACTTTGCATCGTGCTATATCACGTGTATAACGATGAATAATCATGCCGGTAAAAAAACAAGGATAAAAATAAGGTAAAGCACCAGGCCACTGATGACAAGATAATGCCCAACACATAGCCATACATATATCAGCTGTATAATGTGGTTTACGACAAAATTTCCACCATCCATCAGTTAATAATGTTGAACCACATGCAGTTTTCAAATATTTCGGATCTTTTAATGTATTCCATGGAAGTTGTGGAAATGCATTTCTTGGTACATATGTACCACGTTGTTTCATACGAAAACGATTTTTTTGTGCTTGTGATGAATCCCATATATAATAAGCAAAAAATAGTACAGTAAATAAAATCATAACTAATGTCATTGATGTACCTTCAACTGGTTTATGTGTTCGCAAAGAATTAACGAGAATATAATAAGCATGAAATGCATATACAAATGGAACACCAGCTAAATTCCAATAGATTAACATCCAACCCCATTTTTCATAAAATATATCCCATGTTGTTGGAATACATTCTTCACCTTTCATACAAGCATTTATATAGAGTAATTGAGCGGTTAAAATAACCATCATAGGCCAGGAAATTGTATGAAATGCTTCATATTGTTTCAATGCAGCAGAAATAATTAAAAGAAATAATAAAAGCCATGATAAACGTACTTCAGCTAACATTTTTAAATCTACTTCTTGTCCTAAAATTTTAATACGTGGATTTAACCAAACACCCATAAAAAAATCATAAAGGGGTGAATGTGTCATACGACATGTTTTCTTTGTTTGTATAGCATAAAAATGAATAATTACTGATAGAATATCAGCACATATCACAGCAACACAAAGAACTGAACCAAATTGATCAGCTAATATTGTTAAACGTATTATACCAGTTAGATGAAGTATCGCAACAAGTACTAATGTTACATACCAACTAGTTAATGCATTACAATTATATGTATATTGTCGATTATTTTCTGTAGGTACTGGTAAACCTTTAATTACTAGACCAGGTAAAGTAGCCGCAAATATAAGCTGTAGAAGACAAAATCCTGTATAGAGAAAAAATGCTGACCATGTTGGTGAACATGTTTCTTTGAAATTCTGAATTAAAGTATCAAATGATGATGGAAAATAAAGTCCGCCTGAACTATATTGAAGTGATAGAGCAAAATAAAATGGTACAAAATGTGAGAATATAATTAAACCAATGGCTCCTGGTGTACCACCAAATTCTTTTTCTTCTTTACCCATCTTTGATGATTTTCTATATATATATAAGAAATATAAATACAATGTAGAACAAAAATCGAAAGATTTATTTCAAAAGCATTTTATGATAAGTATACCACTTAATGATAAGTAGACATCACCCGATATTCGATGATAACACTAGTAAATAATGTTATCATTGTCAAGGTATTTAGAAATATTAAAGTTTTATATAAACAGAATTGTATGTTGTATGTATAAAAATGTACATATAAAAATGAATTGCATCACATATTAATATTTTCTCTCTATTACAACTACTGTCATCTATTACCATTCAATTGGTCTATATTTTTTCGTGTGATACTCATCATAATATTTTGTTCTGTTCTCATTCATGCAATAAAAGAAAAATTTACGTCATGAAATGACAACAATTTCTTTTACACTCTCTTTACTCATAGAATATATTTATTTAGAATAAATCATTTGATTCTCAGCTCATGTGAAAAAAAGATTTTCTACTTCCCGAAATAATATTTCTTAAGCATAGTTAAGATGTGGATTTTGAATAGAATTATTATCATAGTCAAATATTTTTGTTATTTTCTATGGATTAGAAATAGTGTAAAGGACGAAAATTGAGATGATCTATAAAACAGAAGAAAAATCAGTGAATAATTAAGTAAATCTGTCATTTTTTTTTCTTCGATACTACTGATACTGTATGTTTTTGTTTTTTACATATAATAGACCTATTTAAAATTTTTTATATCAAATATATGTGTTTAGTGAATTGTACATGCTTCTATATTTAGTGTGTAATAAAAAAAATCTACCTTCGTTCATCCATTACATGTACTCTAAAATCGTTTTGTACGTGAAATAAAATATTTTTGTACCTTTTTTCTATATAAATCAACCAATCATGAAATGTCTCAATGATTTTATTCTTTTTTTTTTCTTCTCAGTTCAGAGTAAAGCAAAGAGAACAGTGATTTCTTTTCTATCACGAAAAAAACAAACTCAATCAGATAAATAAGACGTAAAGGTAAACATGTCTCATAGAATTTGACATTCTTTTCTCTTACGTTCCCAATAAAAAGAAACAGAACGCCCTTGATCTAAACGTTCGACAAGAACGGCTGTTTTTGCTTCTTTTAAACATTTATTTTTTCTCTACTGATCGACAGTCGGTGTATATAAAATATTCATTTAATATATGCACCTGCATAATATAGAATGTGAATATTTTTAAATTGATATCATGCTTTTTTTTTCTATATAGAATAAAGACGACTATTATGCCTGACATCATATTCATTTAGCAATTATATAATCAAAATTTGATATAAAAAAAAATAAAAGATGGGTGTTGGTCGACAAATTCGTCTAGTTCTATGGAAAAATTTTACAATTCGACGAAGACGATGGGTAAGTTTAATAATCTTAAATTAAAGAGAAATATGATTTATTTTTTAATTAAGCCTCGTGTTATCTTCGAATTAATCTGGCCACTTTTCTTATTTCTTATTCTCATGTGGGTACGAACACGAAATCTAGTCTTTTATTATGATGCTTGTAAGTATCATCTAGAAAAAAACTGAATATAAAAATCTAAAATATTGATTATTAAGGTCATAATGATGCAAAATATCTTGGATCAACAGGTTTCCTTCCCGCTTTCCAAACTTATATATGTCGTTGGAATAATACCTGTCATAATTATCCAAATCCAAATAATGAATTTAATGCATTATATAATGATACAAGGTTTATATTTCTTCAATGTTATTTATTTATTTGTTTTTCTTTTTCTTTCAAGGATAATCGATATGTTTTCAAATTTTACTGATAGTCTTTCAACTGTATTAAATGACGATCAAATCATTAGCAATATAACGACACTATTAGATCAAGCAGATTCAATTAATAGTTATTTAAATATATGGAATGGTATGTCTTTTAAAAAGATCAGAATTTTTTAATTAATATTTTATTTTCAAAGGTACGATTTTAACAAATAAAACATCGAACGATTTTAATCAATCAATTCCACAAACAACAATAAATATTCTATTTTCAAATCCTGTTAATTTGACAAATCTTCATCAATCATGGTTAATGAATCGAACGGATTCATTATCAAATGTAAATGTTGCTCTTGAAATCTATTTCGCATCGTTACAAACAAATTATTCTTGCGTAAGTTTTGCAAAAACAAACGAATGGGAATACTTATTTTTGTCTTATTTAGGTTTATCGTTCAGAAACGAATATTAAACAATCATTTTGTACAGATGGACAATTTAATCAAACATTTTTAATAACAAATCAAGCACAATCAACTGAATCAAAAGATTTTTTATGCAAGAATTTATCAGCAATTGATTTAAAAAACTTTCTAATTAGTGTGCAACAACAACTTGATAATACGTTTTTGGTTGTCATGGGACCAAATATAATCGGTGTTTCATTTAGTGGTTTACAAGTAATAATTTTATTCGATTTTATTCTATTTACTTATTGATTTGTTTAGATTATGCTAACAGCACAAAATATTCTTTCTCGATTAGAAATTCTTAATGTTAGCTTTCCATTTCAAGAGATCAATAGTAGCCTTAGGTAAGAGGAGTGAGTGAGGATGTTATATTTACTTTTTTTCTGATCTATTTCAGTTTAACAACTTTCTGTGGTGGACGCAATGATCTTTCTACTGATTTTGATCCAAGTTCATCTCAAAATAGTCAATCAAGTAACACATCACAATCATCATCATCATCATCGTCATCAACTACAGAAGGAGAGGAAGTTCTTGATATCGATTGGAATGATTTAGCAGCCAGTATATTACATTATAATGATTCTGCTATATGTCAACAATCATACTCAGCCGGTTCTGGTAATATTCAACAAACAATTCTTGTTAATCGTACATGTCGTTGTGTGATATTTGATCAAGTATTTAATTCCTATGATTTATTAAAACAGTTTGCTAGACTTGTACGTCCATTACTTTACGGAAAAATCTATTATCATCCGTCGAATATTCATTATGATAATATAATTAAACAACTCAATCAAACATTTGAATCATTAGATGAATTAATAAAATTATTTCGTCAAGTTCAAACAATGATTCAACCCACATATAAAATATATTCAACATTATGTCGTTTCTTATCAAATTCATCAACAATATGTCAACAAATCAAATCATATGAAATTCCAATATCATTATTTACAATTTTAACTGAATTTATGGCATGTTCAGATAGAGATCGTTTTATTAAAAAAGATAGTGAAGCAGATATGATACGTGATGGACAAAATAATTCCGTAACAAATACATTTTTAGCTGCAATTGAATTTCTTGATGATATATCAAATAATGATACATTACCAAAACATATGAAATATAAAATACGTATGATATTAGATTATGTTGATAATACATATCGAACAGAAGATCGGTAAATATAAAGAGAAAAAGAAATTTCAATAAAAATATTTTTTTATATAGATATTTTTCATATGCACCACGATATTCAGCACCATTATCAACGAAATATCATTCATTTACATTTATTTATTTACAGAATGCTCTTGATCGTGCTATTATTAATACACAAACAGGTTTAAATATATCATATGGAATACAAACTCAACAAATGCCGTATCCATGTTGGATTAATGATAGATTCGTTAATTCAATTCGACAAATGTTACCATTATTTATGGTATTAAGTTGGATATTTACTGTATCAATGAATGTAAAAGATATTGTTTATGAAAAAGAAAAGTTAGAAATAACAAAAATTTTTCTAAGAAAATTTCATATGATTTATTTATTTAGACGATTAAAAGAAATAATGAGAATTATGGGTTTAAATGATTCTGTTCATTGGTTTACATGGTTTGTGCTATGTACTGTTGTTATGTTGATAACAGCTATACTACTTGTTCTTATTTTAAAAGTAAATCAATCTTTTTATTTTTATCAGATAAGACTATTTTATTACAACTCATGATTTGTTGATTTTACATTATTAAAATTTATATATGGAAAGAGCAAACAGAATATATTAGAATAATAATTTTTTCACGAACCACAGGGATCAATAAGTTTAACCTCAATATACAGAAAGATTTTCAATAAGAAATTTTGTCGGAAAATGAAATGAGTGTAGTGATTATTAATCGCTTGATCTATAAAAAGTTGTTGACGTCACCGAAAGATAAATGTCAAAACGATCGTGTTCTCGATCGGAAAATATTTTGATTTTTCTATATTTAAATCAAATCAAACGATATCGTCTAATAGCATGTCAAAATACGAATAGTATCTCGAGGTCATCACTAACTTTCAGTATATAAAAATCAAATAACAAAAGACTTACATCTATTTTTTTTAATTTAGTATGGCAAAATAACACAATTTTCCAATATATTAGTATTATTTGTTTTCTTTGTTTGTTATACATTTGCAACAATCAATCAATGTTTTCTTCTAAGCGTTTTTTTCAAACGCGCTAATTTAGCCGCATGTGGTATGTACTTTTTCCATAGATTCCCTGTAAATATTATATCTATTCTAGGTGCTGGAATACTTTATTTTCTTCTCTACTTACCGTATACAGTATTAATCAATTATGATAGTTCAACACGCACATGGCATAAAGTTATTTCTGTAAGAATTTAAAAAACGTCTTATAAATTTTAAAACATCAAAGTATTATATTTAGTGTCTATCGTCCACGGTTGCATTTGGACTTGGTTGTGATTATATTGCACGATTTGAAGGTATGACACAAGGTATTCAATGGTACAATATAAATAAAGGTGCAAAACCAAACGATAATTTTACATTCCTTTATTGTATAATAATGATGCTTGTTGATTCCGTTATTTATATGGTACTAACTATTTACATTGAAAATGTTTTTCCTGGTAAGAATCCAAAAAAAAATAAAGTTTAAATATGTTACTTTCTTATAGGTGAATATGGAATACCTCAACGATGGTATTATCCATTTACAAAAACTTATTGGTTTGGTTATAATGCTAAAAAGATTCGTGAACGTGCAGAAAATTTGAAGCAAACTGATAGAAATCCTAATAGTAATAAACATACAATTTAATTTCTTATTGATAAAAAATACGATTCGTTTTAAATTTTAGTTGAAAATGATGATACTCTTGATCAAGCTCAAGTTGGTATTGAAATACAAAATTTAACAAAATATTATCGAAATAAACTTGCGTTAAAAAATTTATCCGTAAAATTTTATCGAAATATGATCACAGCATTTCTGGGAAGAAATGGTGCTGGTAAAAGTACAACTTGGTCGATATTAACTGGTTTAACACCACCCACAAGTGGTACAGCATATATTGATGGTTATGATATATTAACAGATATAAAAGTTGTACGAAAACGATTAGGATTTGCACCACAACATAATATTTTATTTGATCGTTTAACCGTCAAAGAACATTTACAATTTTTTTCAGCGTTAGTAATTATTTATGTAAAATAAGAATTTCAATTTTTGTAAATTAATTTAGATTGAAAGATGCACCTAAAGAGGTTATTGAAGAGGAAACAAATAAAATGCTTGCTGATTTACAATTAGAAAAAAAATCCGAAAATTATTCAACTGAATTATCCGGAGGAATGAAAAGAAAACTTTCAATTGCTATTGCATTTGTGGGCAATTCAACAACAGTTATTTTAGATGAACCAACAGCTGGTAAGTAGAATTAATAGAAAAAATATCTATTCTTTATTTTGAAGGAATTCCGGAAATTAACCACTTTAATAATCAGTAACAAATTTGCTTTTTTTTACACTAATGACAAATATTTGAGCTTTTATTTCCGACAATTATTATGTAACTGATTTTTGTTTAGGTGTCGATCCATTCGCTCGACGAGCTATATGGGATCTTATACTTAAATATAAAAAAGATCGAACAATTGTATTATCAACTCATCATCTTGATGAAGCAGATTTATTAAGTGATCGTTTAGCAATAATTTCATCGGGGGAATTACAATGTTTTGGTACCACAATGTATTTAAAACGTAAATATGGTGAAGGTTATAATTTAATTGTTGAATTAACATCACCATCAAATGAAAATGAACTTAGACAAGAACCCACAGATAATATTCTCGATCCAGCAAGTATCGAATTGAATACAATTGATTCAGCTACAAATGTATCAACACAATTTACTCAATTAACAGATTTTCTTAAAACTTATATGTCTGATATACGTATAAAAGAACAACATGGCGATCAAATAACATATGTTATATTAGATGATTCTGCTCATACAAAACTTTTTCCTAAAATGCTTGCTGATCTTGACGAAAATATAACTAAATTCAATATTAAAAGTTATGGTTTATCAAATAGTAGTCTTGAACAAGTTTTTCTTCGTGTAGCCGATGAAGTTAAACGATTAGAAGATTATGAACGTTTGTCATATTGGAAGAAATATCAAATTTTAATTAAAGGATGGTTTACAAAGAATAAACAAATCGAAGAAGCAAAAGTTGAAACCATCGAAGAAGAAAATACGGATGCTGAAGAACCATTCAATACATCTTTAAGCGGTATGAATAAATCTAGAATATTTTGAAAGACTTAACTATTTAAAATTTCTTCTTAGCTGAATGGGGTTCATATACAGCTGAACGTTATACTGGTATACAATACTTAGCTTTTCAAGTAATGGGATTACTTATAAAACGTTTTCATCGAACAAAACGTAATATCAAAGGATTAATTGCTGAAATTCTTCTTCCAATTATCTTCGTTTTACTTGCGATGTTAGTTATAACATTAACACCAAGTCAAAGTGATCCACCACCACTTATACTTCATCCATGGTATTGGAATAATCCAAATTATATGTTTCAATCAATTTCTATTAATAAATCTTCAGTATTATCGAAATCTATCCAACAAACATTTACGAAATCACCATCGTTAGGTACGCGTTGTATGCCAACAACAATGCTTGACCCAAATTTATATCCATGTACTTCAACTGGTTCTAATTATGTCTATGTACCAACAAGTCCGGAAATAATGGCTGAATTAAATAGTGTCAATTATAATCAAACACGCATATCACCCGCATGTGATTGTTATGAAAAAATGCAACAATGTCCAGCAAGTGGAGGTGGTCCACCGCCAAGTTATGATGTATTACAAACAAAAGATGATTTATATCGTTTAAATGATTACAATATAAGTGATTGGTTCGTAAAACGATAATTATTTTAATAAATCCAATTAGTTTCTTATTTTAGGATAGTAAAAACAGAATATCAAGATCAATATTTAATGAAACGTTTTGGTGGTATAGAATTTATGTCCGGAAATAATTTATCTAGTTTTACTCTGGTTAATAAAACACTTATTGAACAATTTAATAATTTAACTCGTCAAAGAAATCAATCAATACCAACGGTTGATGCAGCTAAACTTGCCGATCTCTTTGAAATACATCCACCACAAGCTTCGGTATATATATTCCTCGCGAAATTATCATATTGATAAAATAATATAAATATTTCATTTCTAGGTTTGGTATAATAATAAAGGATGGCCAGCAAGTGTAGCATTTTTAAATATATTCAATAATGCATTATTACGTGGTATACTTCTTCAGAAAAATGCTACGATATCACTTGATGATTATGGTATAACATCAATAAATCATCCATTACCAAAAACTGAAATTCAACTTGATAGTGAATTACAAAATCGTATCGCAATGGAAATGTTTACAGCCATATGTGTTATATTTGCATTAGCATTTATTCCTGCAAGTTTTCTTGTTTTTCTTATTGATGAACGTGTCACAACGTCTAAACATTTACAATTTGTTAGTGGTGTTCATGGTAATAAAATACTTAAAAAAAAAGTAAATCAATTTATTTGTTTGTAGGTGTAACTTATTGGTGGGCGAATTTTCTTTGGGATTTAACAAATTATTGTGTATCAATTGCATGTTGTTTAATTATATTTCTTGCTTTTCATGTTGATGCTTATGTTTATAAAACAAATTTTCTTTGTCTTTTATTATTATTATTTTTATATGGTTTTGCAATTATACCATTAATGTATCCAATTAATTATTTCTTTAAAACTCCATCAACCGGTTTTGTCGTTATGTCATGTATTAATATATTTATTGGTTTAATGACAACAATAGCAACAATAACATTAGAAAGTTTTGATGATGAAGAAGATTTAGTAAAGATTAATAAAATTTTAACAAAAATATTTTTAATATTTCCACATTATTGTCTTGGACGTGGCTTATTTGATATGAGTAAAATCTATGAAACAAATGCACTCAGTCTTAAATATAGTTAGTTATTTATTCATATCTATTTTATATATTTGATTTTGTTAATTTTTAGTTCCGAATTATTCTCCAGTTTCACCATTTGCATTTGATGTTGTTGGACGAAATCTCTTAGCTTTATTTATTGAAGGTGTCGTCTTTTTTCTATTTGCAATTCTTGTTCAATATCGATTCTTTATACCTGATCGGTAAAATAATTAGCTTTAAAATATTTTTTATTATTTAACAAATATTCTCTAATATTTAGTGGTTGTGTTAGTATACCAGAAGAATTAAGATCTACAGTTGCTGATGATGATGATGATGATGTAGCTGCTGAACGTCAAAGAATTTATTCTGATCGTAATAATATAAGTGGAGATATTCTACGAATGATTGATCTAATTAAAGTATGAATAAAATTAAAGAATAACAAAAACAAATTATCTTTGTTTCTATTAGGTTTATGGATGGAGATTTGGAAAAAATTTTACAGCTGTTAAACGAACATGTGTTGGTGTTAAACAAGGTGAATGTTTTGGTTTATTAGGTGTTAATGGTTCAGGCAAAACAACAACATTTAAAATGTTAACAGGAGAAGTTTCGATGACAGATGGAAATGCATCGATTAATAATTTTAGTGTTATTAAACAATTAAATAAAGTTCATCAAAATTTAGGGTAATGAAAAAACAGAAAGAGACTAGAATATCTAATTCCATTTTTCTTTTAGTTATTGTCCACAATTTGATGCATTGGATTCTTTATTAACAGCAAGAGAACATCTCTATCTTTACGCACGTTTACGTGGAATTAAAAAAAAGAATATTTCATATGTAAGTTTATTCAAATAAGGAGCTAATTTCCTTTACATGAGAATTATATAGATTGCCGATTGTTTATTAAAACGACTTGGTCTTACATTATGGGCTGATCGACCTGTTAAACAATATTCCGGTGGTAATAAACGTAAATTATCCACAGCTATTTCACTTATTGGTAATCCATCAATTATATTTATGGATGTAAGAGTTTCTGAAAAAGAAATATTAACATTCTAAGAAAATTATTCTTCTTAGGAACCAACAACAGGAATGGATGTACGTGCAAAACGATTTTTATGGAATTGTATATTAACATTAACTCGTAAAGATCATAAATCAGTTGTAATAACATCTCATTCAATGGAAGAATGCGAAACATTATGCAATCGTATGAATATTATATTTTAAATCATTCAATATTTTTGTTTTGTCTAGGTCTTGTGATTATGGTCAATGGTAAATTTAAATGTCTCGGTAGTGTACAACATTTAAAAGCAAAGTAAATAATAATTTTTGAAAATTTTATACATGTTTTTTTTCCTATTAAAGATTTGGTGATGGTTATACTATACTTATTCGAACAACTATTGATAGTGATATTAAAACTGTTATTAATTATATAAAAGAACATATACCAGAATCAACAGTTAAAGAAGAACATAATAAAATGATACATTTTCGTGTATCAACGAATGTTCCATTATATAAAATGTTTAGTGTTTTAGAGAAAGCACGAGAAGAATTAGTAAATACTATTGAAGATTATACAGTTACACAAGTAACATTGGATGATGTATTTGTTAATTTTGCTAAGATACAGGAAGAAAATCAAATAGATGACAAGGAAGATAATTGTTTGAAACGAAATTTTTTTAGTAAATTATTTCATAGAAACAAGAAAAATGTATTTGGTAAGTCGAAATATAAATAGATTTGAAAATATTATAATTTTCTTTTATAGAATTAACGCACCTTTAGCGGGGCAATCTTATGGTATGTAGAGTCTTATCGACGAATATCCGGATTTTCTTAATTCGATCTTTTATTTAGGCATTAAATCAAACAGTTATTTTATTTATTCCTACAATAGTCCGGTGTCTTATCGTTTTTTTGTGGCATACTGATCTGTGATGTTTTATTTTTCTATTAAATATTGTTTATAATTACCTCGATTTTTAAATTCCACTACATGATTCGGTGACTTTCCAATCTATTTTTACTTTTTCTTTGTTATATAATTCTAAAAACAAAAGTCATTTTCCTATGTATTTTTTTTTGCTTTGTTTGTTCTAATTTCAATAGAAAAATAATTAAAATAAAACAACAAAAAAGTAATAATTGAATTATTTTTTTCCTTTTTATTCTTTTTTCTTGTTTATAGCACATACAATTAAAATATGAATTTTAAACGAAAAGTTTTTACTGAATAAATATATCCGATAATTGTTGTTTTCGTGCTAAATCTCGTACAAATCGTTTTCGGCCACTCAATGGATTCATACAGCAATAACGACCTAGATAAAAATAATTAATTAAAGAATAAATAAAAAACATAAAAACATACGTTGTACTGTTGGTTCAATCAATGTTTGCAAATCATCGTCATCAGCTGATGAATCCTCTTTATATATACATATGAAATTAATTTTAAAAAAAAAAATTTTTATTTTACCTAGATTTATTAAAGTATTATCAATCAATCGTTGAATAACAGCTTGTCGTAAAGTATCAAGTTGATTCTAAATCCAAAGAATATATAATCATCTTTCTTTTTACAAAAAAATATCATAAATATATCTTCTTTGTTTTCTTCATGCGACCCTATTAGCCTTGATAAGAAAACAATAGCAACTTCTTATATATACAGATCCATCTCGTGGTTCAAGAGTATTTATGATATGTAAACATGAAAGACAAGGACGATGACTCGTTTTGTTTAGTAAATTTTAATAATGTCAACATTCATGTTAAGCTTTAATAAAAATAAATACAATCATCTTTTCTAATTAGTAAACCGATAAGAAAAGAAAAGCTTAGATTATTCTTAATCGTATTTGTTTTTTTTTGCTAGAATTAAATATTAATTAATCTTATACCTGATCTTGATCATTATGTATAATTACAAATGAATGAATGAACAGAAATTGATTGGTAATAAGAATAAACGAAAGTAGATAAACAGGTATCATAGATGAACCGAAATTTTTTCTTCCAATACCAAACATATTGAGGGTTATTGTATGTTTTTAGTTGTATTATGATGGGAATATCTAATAAATCAATGTATAGAAGCGATTATTTTTCAAGCGATTATATATATGGGTATGAACTAGAATGAATTAATAATGACAGAAAGGATGTTATGATCTGTTCTACAAAAAACAGAAAGATGAGGGAACATTTTTAAGAGATGAATCTTTTATTGATTGGAAAAGAGAGAAATAGAGAATAAGAGAAATGAAGAAAGAACAAAGTAGAATAAACTTCTCGCCGTTTTTTTTCTCTCTTAAGTTATAATTAGTAAATCTTTGGAACAGAACAAAAAAAATCATATTATTAATCAAGCATTAAATTAAGTGAAATATGAGACGAGACAATTCATTTGTTAGAGTATTCATGTCACCGGAAGAAATCATGACAAATTTTTCATTTTCTTGAAATTATTAAAATAAAATATTCCTTTAAGTATACTTCATAATCACACTAATTATAGACAACAATGAAGAATTTCAGTAAGCATAAACTGTACATTTATATATATATCAAAGGTACGTTCAACCTATATGAATATGAAAAAAACCCATCATTATCAAACGGAAATAGTAGATGAAAACACATACACATTTGTTAACTATATGCTAGCATATAAAAAAGCTTGTTCATATGTTAGATAAATCGTTTTTCTATTCAAATAAGCCAAAAAAAT